CAGAATGTGGCTGACCGATACTGGAACCTGGCAATTCTCATAGAGAGGAGCAGGGCGCCTCTCCATGAGTAAGACGAGCATGGCCAATGCGAAGGCGGGAGAGAGTAGTCTCCCAACCTCAACACTGGTGACAAGAAGATGGCCAGTAACCTATACTCGGTTTAATAGAACAAAGTTTGTTATTGAGCAGAGCAGACAATGTTGTTGCCAACGGGTGTGAAGGGTAGCTGTTACAGCAAAATAGTCTGGAAATGGAACACCACTATATGAAATTGGTAGGTCATGTACTGCTGACCGGGCGGCCTCTAGATCTAAGAAAGTGGATCTATCGTTCCTTTCCTTGAATCAAACTTCATTTCTTCCCATTCCCCATGTGGCTTATAACCCCTATGGGTTTAGCACCACCCTTTACATTATAAAAAAATATTGCCATATTAGGTTTTATATTCAATTAAGCATTTGTACTCTAATTTATTTGCTACTAGGCAGCCTGGCTGCAGCACTAAGAAGTGAGGAACTTTTTAGGCACTTAATCAAAGCTGTTAAAATCTGAATGTACCATTCAATTAGTTAAACAAGTGTTAGCATTTAAAATGTAACTTGTATTCCATTGCAAATATCATTATTATGTATTATAATCATGAAAATTAGGAAACTAGTAGAAAGATACTAATGTATGTGCAGAGCAAACTTTTATAATACCTTTGTAACTTGTCATGATTGTGACTAGACCTACCTGGAGTTCATTACCTTTGTAATTCGTGAGTTCATTACCTTCGTAAATTGTGAATTCATTACCTCTGTAACTTCCTCAGCTATCAAAACTTTGGAGTCCAGTCCCTGGACCCATTATGTACCTCTGTAATCTTTTGACTACTGCCCACAGGATGGGTATGGGGTGCATAATAAACATATTAAACTAAGTGTTATGCAAGGCCATTAGACTCGGCTAGCATTTTCATAGCTGAACTGTATGAAATTCTCATAGCAATTATCTGTATTGTGTCTAGGTCTTCCTCAACATTTGTGGTAGTCTCAGACTCCTACATTAGTGCTTTGCAAGCTATTAAAAAATTTAGTTTGCCTCATCCCCTAGTTCTTTGTATACAATTCTGGTTATGTTGCATTTCTAGCAAAAACAGAAATCATTTTCTACTGGGTCCCTGGTCACTTTGATGTTCAGGGCAATAAGCAGGCAGACTCTGCTGTGCAGTCAGTGGTTAATGACCTTCCAGTATTCCATTCTCAGACTATTTTCGCAACCGATGGCAATGACGTTGGTCAGGGTTGATTCATAACTAATTACACTCTATCAAGCCAAGTTTAGGATCCTGGTCTTTTCCTTATCATCGATGTTGTGGTTGAGAGAGTACATTGTCCCGTCTTTCCATCAGGCACGCACATCTCACTCATGGGTATCGCATGGAGAGGTGCCCAGTTCCACTCTGCGAATTGCCAGGTTCCAATTTCAATTTGTCATATTCTATTGGACTGTCCTGTCTACCAGCAAGCATGTAGAGTTTACCTCTGATATCTCTGCCACTCTAACACCCTTACTTTTATCTTCCCTCCTAATTGCTGGCCCCACCTTTGACACAAACTCCCTCTTTGACTTGTTTTGACAGCAACAGATTTACATTACACAACCTTTGATTATATATCCCTTAGCACTACTCGCCACCCTTCTGAACTCTCCCTCCGTTATACTCTCCACCCTAGCTAGTTTCAGATCAAGCATATTATACGGTTCATACACCCTACCCTGCAGCGTTGTATGATCCTGGTGGGTCTAGTGCTTAGTTTTCATTATAATAATTATTTAAATAAAATTTTGCTTTGCTCATATTGTCTTTCTACCATACAAGCTTGCATTGTACCTGGGACTGACAGGGTAAGCATGCCAATACACTGATGTAAATACAATATTCATAAAGTGTTAAACTGAGGAAGAGAATTCAGTGCACTTTCTTGGCAGGATGTGTTAGAAGTCAATTATACAGTAAACCCTCTCATGATGCACAAAATATACCTTGTGGAAATTAACATTGTCATAGGTGAAAAAACATGGAAAAAATGGGATTATGTTCCAAATTGGCAAAAAAAAAAATTTACTAGGTAAAAATTACTACAGTTAATCATACATTCTAGTTGTCATTGCTTATTGACAGCATTCAAAAGTCTCAGGAACCTATCTTACAGTGTGTTTCCATAATGTAATATACCAAGTTTGGCCTTCAGTTCACAAATATATGTTAGTCCCAGGAGGACAAGTCTGTCAAACTGTAAAACCCTTAAAGTGAGTTCCTTGATCTGGGGAAGAATTATTGATCCAAGGGATTGGATCCCCTTTGGATAAAAAATGACTGCCTCCCATTCTTCAGGCACTGTATGACCCTATAGGTTTAGCACTTCCCCATTAATAAAATAATTTTAACAGCTGGTCTGTAATATTTTTAACACTAATGTGTTATAAAAGCTTATCTAAGATAGGAAATCAAAATGCCATTATACTGGTCAGTACTGGAATAAATTAATACATTTACTTTCAGTATTCCTCAAAGCTGCCATATACATACATGTAATAAAGTACATACTGTAAACAACTAGTTAAACCACAATAGTCAACAAAAATACTGTTTGTAAATGAAGAATACAGCCTCTCCTCACTTAACAATGGAGTTCTGTTCCTGAGACCACGTCGTTAAACGAGTTTGTCATTAAGTGAGGAGCCTACTATAATGGTAGTAAACTTGTGTCAACTCCAGGTTTGCACCATTTATAACATTTCTGGTATATTTCCAAATGTTTATACAGTAGTGTACTGTATATTGAAATAAAAAGAATAGAGGAAATCAGCTCTAATATACATTATTTAGGTATTAATACTGGTCAGAGAGCCCATCATAAGTCTGAGGCGTCAGTAAACGAGTATGTCGCCAAGTGAGTTGAGGCTCTATATACATACGCTCAGTGCTGTATAACATTTGTGGGTTTAGCACTTGGTTTTGATTATAATAATAATTTATCAAAACCAAGCACTAAACCTGTATAATAATAATAATACATATGTTACTGTACAATGAGGCTCTATACTTACTTGATTCACCCTATTTTATACAGTAAATTTTAAAAAGAAAACTACTACTTTCAACATACCAGCCATATTCCACCGAGGTGGGGTGGCCCAAAAGGAAAAACGAGTTTCTCCTTTCAAATTTAGTAATATATACAGGAGAAGGGGTTACTAGCCCCTTGCTCCTGGCATTTTAGTCGCCTCTTATGACACGCATGGCTTACAGAGGAAGAATTCTGTTCCACTTCCCCATGGAGATAAGAGGAAATAAACAAGAACAAGAGCTAGAAAGAAAATAGAAGAAAACCCAGAGGGGTATGTATGTATATACGTACATGTATATGCTTGTACATGTATGTGTAGTGTGACCTAAGTGTAAGTAGAAGTAGCAAGATGTATCTGAAATCTTGCACGTTTATGAGACAGAAAAAAGACACCAGCAATCCTACCATCACTTAAAACAATTACAGGTTTCCGTTTTACACTCACTTGGCAGGACGGTAGTACCTCCCTGGGCGGTTGCTGTCCACCAACCTACTACCTAGGAAAAAGAAAACTACATACATAATAAACTTCTAAGTAATAATAAGTAATTTTCAAAGTAAATGTCAATAATTCCATAGATATTAATGTTGAGTAAGTATAAATGAGACAGTACATAACCTAACTGCTCTTGATTTAAAAAATTTGACTTGCATTTCCCTTTCTTGAATTGAGCCTGAATGCCTCCCATTACCCCTAGGCACTATTATGATCCATACAGGTTTAACACTCCCCATGAACACAAGATCATTTTTGCTCTTAAGCTGCTATAGGGCATAGATATTGTTATATGCAAACTAAGTGACTCAGTTTTTAGCAAGCCACTAACCAGACTGAGAGTCGAAGATCAAAATGAATTTTTTATGAGAGAGCCACAAAATTTGATTAACACAAGCCTATCCGATGTTATCCTGATGCCAAATGACTTCGAACAGGCGATAAATGACATGCCCATGCACTCTGCCCCAGGGCCAGACTCATGGAACTCCGTGTTCATCAAGAACTGCAAGAAGCCCCTATCACGAGCCTTTTCCATCCTATGGAGAGGGAGCATGGACACGGGGGTCGTCCCACAGTTACTAAAAACAACAGACATAGCCCCACTCCACAAAGGGGGCAGTAAAGCAACAGCAAAGAACTACAGACCAATAGCACTAACATCCCATATCATAAAAATCTTTGAAAGGGTCCTAAGAAGCAAGATCACCACCCATCTAGAAACCCATCAGTTACACAACCCAGGGCAACATGGGTTTAGAACAGGTCATTCCTGTCTGTCTCAACTATTGGATCACTACGACAAGGTCCTAAATGCACTACAAGACAAAAAGAATGCAGATGTAATATATACAGACTTTGCAAAAGCCTTCGACAAGTGTGACCATGGCGTAATAGCGCACAAAATGCGTGCTAAAGGAATAACAGGAAAAGTCGGTCAATGGATCTATAATTTCCTCACTAACAGAACACAGAGAGTAGTCATCAACAGAGTAAAGTCCGAGGCAGCTACGGTGAAAAGCTCTGTTCCACAAGGCACAGTACTCGCTCCCATCTTGTTCCTCATCCTCATATCCGACATAGACAAGGATGTCAGCCACAGCACCGTGTCTTCCTTTGCAGATGACACCCGAATTTCCATGACAGTGTCTTCCATTGCAGACACTGCAAGGCTCCAGGCGGACATCAACCAAATCTTTCAGTGGGCTGCAGAAAACAATATGAAGTTCAACGATGAGAAATTTCAATTACTCAGATATGGTAAACACGAGGAAATTAAATCTTCATCAGAGTACAAAACAAATTCTGGCCACAAAATAGAGCGAAACACCAACGTCAAAGACCTGGGAGTGATCATGTAGGAGGATCTCACCCTCAAGGACCATAACATTGTATCAATCGCATCTGCTAGAAAAATGACAGGATGGATAATGAGAACCTTCAAAACTAGGGAGGCCAAACCCATGATGACACTCTTCAGGTCACTTGTTCTATCTAGGCTGGAATATTGCTGCACACTAACAGCACCTTTCAAGGCAGGTGAAATTGCTGACCTAGAAAATGTACAGAGAACCTTCACGGCGCGCATAACGGAGATAAAACACCTCAATTACTGGGAGCGCTTGAGGTTCCTAAACCTGTATTCCCTGGAATGCAGGCAGGAGAGATACATGATTATATACACCTGGAAAATCCTAGAGGGACTAGTACCGAACTTGCACACGAAAATCACTCACTATGAAAGCAAGACTTGGCAGACGATGCACCATCCCCCCAATGAAAAGCAGGGGTGTCACTAGCACGTTAAGAGACCATACAATAAGTGTCAGGGGCCCGAGACTGTTCAACTGCCTCCCAGCATACATAAGGGGGATTACCAACAGACCCCTGGCAGTCTTCAAGCTGGCACTGGACAAGCACCTAAAGTCGGTTCCTGACCAGCCGGGCTGTGGCTCGTACGTTGGTTTGCGTGCAGCCAGCAGCAACAGCCTGGTTGATCAGGCTCTGATCCACCAGGAGGCCTGGTCACAGACCGGGCCGCGGGGGCGTTGACCCCCGGAACTCTCTCCAGGTAAACTCCAGCCTCTTTGGGTTATTTAGTACTCTTAGAAAAGCAAATTTTATATTAGAATAAAAATACTGAAGGTATTATCATTATTCCTAGGTAGTAGGTTGGTAGACAGCAACTGCCCAGGGAGGTACTACCATCCTCTCAGGTGAGTGTAAAAGGGAAGCCTGTAATTGTCTTACATGATGGTAGGATTGCTGGTGTCTTTTTTCTGTCTCATACACATGCAAGGTTTCAGGTACATTTTGCTACTTTTGCTTGCACACAGTAACACTACACATGCATGTATAAACATAAATGCACCCCTCTGGGTTTTCTTCTATTGTCTTACTAGTTCTTGTTCTTGTTTATTTCTCTTATATCCATGAGGAAGTGGAACAGAATTCTTCCGTAAGTCATGCATGTCGTGAGAGGTGACTAAAATACTGGGAGCAAGGGGCTAGTAATGCCTTCTGTATATATTACAATGGAACTCCGGTTTTCGTACTGTTCGCATATCGTACAATTCAGATTTAGAACACTTTTTTGGATGAAATTTTGGTCCGGATTTCGTACCTCAATCCAGAAATCGTACATATCATATGCGTCCGCCCACCCAGGAATGCCGTCAGTTTGGATTTGTCACTGGTTGAGTGAGCATTCATCCAAAACATTTCGCAATTTTTGTGCTTGTTTATTGATTGTGACTGCAAAATAAGCCACCATCACCTTCAAAACTACCATCAGAAAACATCTTATCTCCCTGATACACCCTGTCAACTAATTACACGAATACCACCTGGTGGTTAACACTTACACTCACTCACCCATTTGACCATAAACAGAAATATCAATCTCAGTCTCAAAATAATGAATCTTAACTAGTCATAAGTTGGCCTGTGATACTCCAATACTGAAACTATGTATAGTGCCAAAACAAAAGCATTCACATTGCTAAACTCACAAACTAGTATTTAGTCACTTAGCCATAATACCAACTTACCTCATAATTTTGTAATATTTTAAACTTAAGATTTAATTTAAGTCTGCCCGAAATGCCTAGCCATGCTAGGTGTTCTAGTGGTACACTCTGTAATTATTATTTTACTACATGTAAACAATACAATAACCAAATTCTGTAAACTCAGCATTGTAATCCTTATACAGAATAAACTTTGAATTTGAATTTGAATTTGAACCATGGGCCCAAAGAAAGGGTTTTTTGAAGGGTTTGAGGCTGACCCTGTTGACCCTACGCCTGTTGTGGAATGAAGTGTGTCTTTAGGGAAGTCCATGGGTCTGGATGTGAGTGGCCAGGATGTAAGTATGAAAACTGGAGTTCCAGTGTACTAAATTTAAAAGGAGAAACTTTCGTTTTTAATTTTGGGCCACCCCGCCTCGGTGGGATATGGCCAGTGCATTGAAAGAAGATTATCATTATTATTATTACCTGTGTCATACAGCACTGTGATGGCATTATAAGACAGAAATTATCACAGTTGTCTTAGAGTGTAATCCTTATAAACTAAAGTGTCCCAAATTACAATAGGTGCAATCTTACCTAAATTAAATACATTTTTTATGGTCAATGACCATATTATACAAAGCATTATAAATTTCAAGTGATTTAGCTTAAAAGATATTTCAAGATAAATTCCTGTTCAACAGAAATGAAGGCAGTAAAGTTTTTCAATTGGAGAGTCATATCCTTAAGTTCCAGGTGCTGCAGGTTTGGATACTGGAGGCCTTTATTAAGTGGTCTCTAAATTTGAAAGTGGATCTGAATACTCTGATTTATTTATATGAATATCTCTGTTCACATTATGGGGTAATATGGGATGATCTTGGCATGGATGTCTACCTTTCAAAAGAGTGCAATCAGAGGATTTTTGCATTCTGGAATTATGGCTAACACACTTGCTGATGCATATTTTAATTACTAGAAAAATAGAAAATTTTATGTAAATTTGAGTAAAGGACCCCAATGGAAATAAGTAACTTTGACTTTTTTGGGTTATCCTAGGTTCTCTACACATAAGCTGCTTTGTATGATAATCTATTTAACTGTATTTGTGCATACCTGAATAAACTTACTAAATGGGGTTACTCTGAGTCCTGCTTTCTAATTTCATCTTCTCTGGTTCTGTCTTTAATTTGCCTTTTAGCTATGGTTCTTATTTTTCAGTGCAACATTCTAGTCTGTTCAGTAGTTTCAGAAGATGTAGTACTTAACTGAAATTTGCTATAATTATATGGTGATCTATACTTTTCATTTATTTCCTGTATCTGTGTTCAGTGAGAGCTGTAATCTGTTTCTTGAGTCATTGTTCACTGTTTGGTGTGTGCCTCTGTTGTCTGTGTCACAAGGTACTATGATATGATTTTTAACTTTGTTCTGACTGTGTGAATAATGCTGTTTGGATGCACTGTGAATATGTTTCACATATTCTGACAGTTTTTCTTTTGAGGAAAGCTGCAAAACACCACTGGCCTTTCCTTTAATACCTTTTTCTCTGTCAACCAGCCTCTGTTTAAACAAATAGTTTCTTTGATTTAGCAGTTTTTCTTTGTCTAACACTTCTGTGGTTTCAGCAGATAAAAAATCTTTAGTATGAAAAGAATTTTTGGATATTTGTTGGCCAGATGACCTACCACTGGAGGCATATGCCAGAGATGACTTCTTATCGGGGTCATATACAGGAGATAACCTGACATCAGGGTTGTACACTGGAGGTGACCTGACATCAGGATTATACACTGGAGATGCCCTAACATCTGGGTTGTACACTGGAGACACCCTGACATCTGGGTTGTACACTAGAGGTAACCTGATATTAGGGTCATACACCGGAGACGACCTGATGTTAGGGTCATACACTGGAGATGACCTGACATCAGGGTCATATATTGGAGACATCCTGACATTTGAGCTGTGCACTGGAGATGACCTTACATCAGGGTCATACATTGGAGACATCCTGACATTTGAGCTGTCCACTGGAGATGACCTTACATCAGGGTCATACACTGGAGATGATCTGACATCAGGGTCATGTGTAGACAGCCTGTACTGTCTGCACAGACAGCCCATGCTGTCTGCCAGCTTAGTTCATATTTCGCGCTATGCTGGTGCTGCCATCTATAGGCCTTGCCACTTCAGTATGCCCAGACTTGCCTCTCCCTCCCTCACACAGCGGCCTAGCAGCAAGACACAAGGCCTCTCCAGCTCTCTCTCGTGGGATGGCCCTGGCCGGGCCATGGGCACAACACAAGCCTGTGTACCCACCACTACTTAACAATAAAGTAAGAAGCCTCCGAAGACGTATATCATTCACACCCGCTTGCGACAGCTACCAAACAATCTCATTATAAATGGTGACAGTGGTGCTCGCAGGAGTTGTGTTTGCCTGGAGAGAGGGAGGAAGAGGGATGAAGTCATCTTCACTTCATCATCCCATGCAAGAAGCATCCGTCTCTCAACGAGTTATCCTGATGTCGTGTCTGCACGTTTGAGCATCCAGACACAGGTACAAGCAGGATCCAGACCGAAATTTGCCGAAATTCTCCGAGAATTGTAAGTGGCGTCACAGTGACCCCACGCTACAGTGACTCCACGCTACAGCGTCCCACGCTGTTTCTCAAGTCACGTGTTCAGCATCACTTGTATGTTGCTGTTGTTCAGCTCAGCACAGCTGTTTCTGCAAGCCAGAGGTGAGTTTTGTGGTGATTTCTGCGTCCAGTGTGAGTTCTCTACGTATTTGTGGGTGGGGGAGGAGAGGAGAAGAAGTGGCTGTTCCTCACCTTGCCCATGCTCGCCCTACTCACGCTCACCCGTCTACCATACACCACTCACCACTGCCCACTCCCTCTGCTGTGTTTTCTGCTGTTTTTCGTGTGATTCGTCGCCAGTGCTGTGTATCCGAGTGCCCGAGGCCACTCGAAGCTGCGTGGATCAGCATGCCACGTAGATCACGACACCACGTGGATCGACACCACGTTGGGTGTGGCCGATGTCACGTGGATCTACCAGCCACATGAGTTACCAGATGTCCCAAGGCCACATGCTGTGGTCTGCTGCCCGCATCACATTGACGTCACCCACGATGCTGCCCGACTTCATGACGTCACGATGTCTGCTGACGTCACCTCACGATGTCTGCCTGACGTCACCTCGAGATGTCTGCTGACGTCACCTCACGATGTCTGCCTGACGTCACCTCGAGATGTCTGCTGACGTCACCTCACGATGTCTGCTGACGTCACCTCACGATGTCTGCCTGACGTCACCTCGAGATGTTTGCTGACGTCACAGTGCTGCTGACGTCACCTTGCGACATCACGCCTGACATCACATGATGTCACCATCGAGTGTTCAGTAATTATTTTAGTATTGTCGAGAAGATTGAGAGAAAATATATGTCGTGTGTTAATTCCTCTCAGTCAGTGTTCTCACATTTTAGTATGTCTTAGTGTCTGTTTTGTGCACAAAAAAGCATCATTTGCTAGTTAAGCCATGTTGTACCATATGTACAGCGGTGTGTTTTTAAAGTTTCCGTGTGTCCAGTGAGGTCTGAGCCAGCCAGACCTGAGTAGCACCTCTGTGCTAAGTCACCCGTGTGACCAGTGTGTTTGACAGCTGATGTCAAGACAGCTCCGAGTGACCGAGCCCTCTTGTACAGAAAGCTTTTATGCTCGTCGCTCGTGATGTTCTGCAGAATCGTACCTGCTACGATTCCCATCGAGATTTGTTTCACTTTACCTCCAGACCTTCAGAGTGCAGTTATATGTAGAGAAACAAGTCTGGGGACGCTTAGACTAACCTCTGCTATAACTCCAACTGTCGAGAGATGACACGCTGTGTCAGCCTCGTGTCACAAGCTTCAGTGAGCAGCCTGCACAAAGATGATGTCACTTTGACTGCTAGCTCTCTCACTGCAGTCTGGTGTATGATGTTACGACTCCCAGATGTTTCGCCCAGTCGTCTCTGCCACGACTCGCTCCACGCTCGCCGGCAGTGACAGCCCAGCGACAGTACCAGTCGAGAAGTGTCCTGAGTCGCTTGCCAGAAGTCCTGCCCAGTTGCTGAGTTTTGTCGATGCCTCACTCGAGGGCACCAGCATGTTGTGCCCCAGGTTGAGTGAAACCTGCAGCGACTCCTACGATGACTGCTTCACCGTTCCAGAGGAGACCGTAACCTGTTACGTCACAGCTCAGCCGCAGCGATGTCTCCCGTGTTGCAGTATGTCCAGACGCAGGAAGGCGTGCAGTGATGCCCTTCGATGCTCATTGCCTATGACCACGATGTTTAGCACACCCCACATGTTTTTTTCTTCCCTCCCTGTAGGAAGTTTTTTTTTCCATGTCCATATGTATATATATGTTTTTATTTTGTGTTCTGTGTCCTGTTCCTACGAGAGAGAGACCGAGTTTCTTTTACTACCAGTATTGTCGTGTCGGGACGACGCGCGGTAGGTGGCCGAGCGTATGTAGACAGCCTGTACTGTCTGCACAGACAGCCCATGCTGTCTGCCAGCTTAGTTCATATTTCGCGCTATGCTGGTGCTGCCATCTATACGCCTTGCCACTTCAGTATGCCCAGACTTGCCTCTCCCTCACTCACACAGCGGCCTAGCAGCAAGACACAAGGCCTCTCCAGCTCTCTCTCGTGGGATGGCCCTGGCCAGGCCATGGGCACAACACAAGCCTGTGTACCCACCACTACTTAACAATAAAGTAAGAAGCCTCCGAAGACGTATATCATTCACACCCGCTTGCGACAGCTACCAAACAATCTCATTATACATGCATTGGAGATGACCTGACATCAGGGTCATACACTGGAGATGACCTGGCATCAGGGTCATACACTGGAGATGACCTTACATCAGGGTCATACACTGGAGATGACCTGACATCAGGGTCATGCACTGGAGATGACCTGACATCAGGGTCATACACTGGAGATGACCTGACATTAGGGTCATACACTGGAGATGACCTGACATCAGGGTCATGCACTGGAGATGACCTGACATCAGGGTCATACACTGGAGATGACCTGACATCAGGGTCATGCACTGGAGATGACCTTACATCAGGGTCATATGCTGGAGATGACCTGACATTTGGGTTGCACAATGGAGATGACCTGACATCAAGGTCATATACAGGAGATAACCTGACATCAGGGTTATACTCGGGAGATGAACTGTTACTAGGTTTATACACTAAAGATTGCCTATTATCATCGGCATAGACTGGAGGTAGCACATGCTTTCTTTTTTCTACTCTCTGGGAAGCCCAAGTGCCACTTTTGTTGTGTGGATTACATACTGAGAATGGTCTATTATTGTCTTGTTTTGTTTCTTCTTTATGCAAAGGATTCTGATTATGTGAGAGTACAGATGACTCACTGATTTGGTGGGATGAAGAATGTGTGTGTTTCAGTGCATCTGACAAAGATAAAGAATTCATTTCACTGATAGATGAATTATTTACACTCTTATTTTGCTTCATGATGTTATCTCTACCTTTTCTATTTACAGCAAAATACCATGAATGATGCATAGGTGGTGGAGATGCATTTAAAAGTGAATTTCTCCTCAAGTCATTTTTTATTTCCTGGTCACCCGTGGTCCTGACCACGGTACTCTCATTGCTTTTCCTTAAAGAAGATAGAGTAGCAACATTTGCTGGAATAATAGATAACAGTGTAGCCAATCCTGTACCAGCTCTAGTTTCTTGGGATTCGCTTTCATTAACTGAATCTGCAATCTGAGTGTGTGTTTCCTGAGGATTTACAGAACCGTGTAGTACTTCTGAGTAATCATTTGCTTTGTACTCTGAAGACAAAACCTTGTCTTTAGATACTATAAAATTAAGAGTATTATTATTTACTATATGCTTATCTGTTAACTCCTTATGTTTATTCATTACACTCATAAGAATACAATGAATATCGTTCTCTCTAGCTTCTTTCTTTCCTAAGTATAATAACTGCTGTGTAATAAAATGTATTATTTCACATGTTTTTTTTCCAATGGTAGCTCTAGCTATATTATCTATATCAAGTCCCATGTAATTCTTTAGTAACTTCATCTCATTCACTACATTTAAAAGTATAGTTGTCATTTCCATTGCTTTCTTAACACTGGCCATGACTTCTGGATCAAGTATGCCTTTTTTATATTCTGAAAATAAATTTTGATGCATAAGTTCCAGTGCAATAATATTGTCTGTGACCAAGAAAAGATCAAAGGGGTCTTGACCTTGTTCTATTTTAATTGCTGACTTGATTAGTAAATGTTCTGTTACAGGAGCCAAATTTCCCAAGACACTGGTTACTTTACTAATAGCTTCAAGACTTTCAACAAGAAATACATTTCTCTTATGTTTTTCATCATTTACAAATTGTGCACTGGTATTGCCAGCCCTTACAGTGTCTTCATCTTGTGGTTTTATTGAAGCTGATGGCAATGGAGATCCGAACATCCTTTGGTCTATGGTTAAAAGACAATCTGGAACTGTTGAATCTGGAATGGGACAGACAGGAGTTTTAGGTGATCCAGATACATAATCGTATGCGGAGGCCCCACTATTTAATTTCTTTGCAGGAGTTACCTCTCCAGCATCCAGCTCTCTCTTTCTATGCCCTTCAAAAGAATTGAGATTCTCATTAAGTTCTTCTGCTTCTTGTGTGAATACAGCTAGTGCATCTGGAGTGAATGAAACATTGTCATCAGAATCTTTCTGATTCCTCTCACCATCGTTACTGTAAGTGATTAAAGGTTCCACTAGCTCTGAAGACATTTTGTCACTGGTATTTGTGTTAGTTTTTTTAACAACAGTAGTTAACAATTTTTTTTCCTGGTTTTTACTTGAAAGACTTACATTACAATCAACTTCTCTTGTTAAATCTTCTCCCACACAAGCTTCATAGGAAGGAATGCTTTTAGTATGAAATGTAGGTAAATGCTGATGTAGTGGGAGTTTTGATGCCACTGTTGTTGATGAATGGAAAGAAGTTTTATTCAATGATACATTAATAGCTGGGGCCTTGTATGGAGAGATGTAATTATTTGGAATGTCTGTTGATTTGCACTGGGTTAAAGCATTAGCTAGTGGTATATTTTTTCTTGAAGTACTTATTGGCAATTCTTTTGCAGTCAGATCCTTTTTTTGAGACAAATTACTAATGGATGCCTTATCAAGAGAGTTAGACATATTAGAACTTTTTAAATCAGAGATCGATGTTTGTTTTATATGATCTAATATTAATTGTGACTGATCATATATTGGTATCTTGGTGTCAAAATTGTTTATATTATTTTGTGTTGGTGAAACTGTTGTATTACTTGTGGTTGAGGAAAAATTTCCAAATTTTCTTTCCAACATTTCTCTTGTAGCAGACTCTGAAATCACTGCAGCTTTGGGAGATGGAGCTTGAGGTGCTGTAATCTTAGAAGACATTGAATCTTGCATTTTCTTATTCACTAACGATGATTCTTGTTTTGTACAACTGTCAACAAATGCATTTTGCGCAGTAGTCTTATCAGCTGTCACCTCTTGCACTGTTGCAGCAGGAATTGAAGTTAGTTGCACAGATGGTAAGACACCTGATGTTTGCTGTTTTGTACTACTGGTACCTGACTGCTGTTCAGTATGTCTGCCATCTTTGTGTCCAGTACATTTGGCATCTGAATGTCCTGTATGTTTATCATCTGAGTGTCCAGTATGTCTGCCATTTTTGTGTCTTGCATGTTTGTCATTTGAATGTCCTGTCTGTTTGCCTCTTTTATGTCTTGCATATTTGTTATCAGAATGCTCTTTATGTTTGCCACTTGAGCATCCTGTATGTTTGTTATCCGAATGTCCTGTATGTTTGCCATCAGAGTGTCTTATATGTTTACCATTTGAGTGTCCTGTATCTTCATCATCTGAGTGCCCTGTAAATTTACTGCCTGCTGTTTCATGTATATTATTCAGGATATTTGATGTTTGTTGTCCTGTAGATCTGCTATCTAATGTTTCGTGTCCAGTAGTTCTTATATTTGATGATTTTTGTTCTAAAGGCTTCCTACTTGATATATCTTGTCTTGTAGGTTTAACACCACATGTTTGTTGTTCATTAAGTTTTGTAATCTGCCTTTCTACTTGTATATTTGTCAGACATTTACCTTTTTGCGAAGTATAAGTATTCCTTTCACTCATTTCTTGAAGAGAATGTGTCAAATGTAATGTTTCTTCAGTTGGATGTACTGGAGTTTGTATCATAGCAGTATCAGGAGTCTCATAATGTACTGGGAGTTTTTCACACTGTAAATCAGCCAAAGTTGTAGAACACACATCTGTCGATCTGTCATTTTCTTGTGTGGCGGAAAACTCAAATGCTGGAAAAAAAGTTAAAATTTCAATGTTAACATTTGTTTAATATATAGGAAAATGGTAATTATAAAAGAATATACAGAAATAGAAAACAATTTGGCACACAGGTGGTTAACAAAATCTTTATCACCATGTGGTAACACAGCCATTATTAGAGCATCTTCAATAGGGAAGATATTTGATAATAAGTAGAATAATCCCTCCCAGATTTATCCAGCAACCTTGGCATCTACTCTTGAGAATTTCCCAAAAGCAGTGTCATCATCATAAAGAAACTGTGACAACTCCCATTTTGTATGAGATTCTGCATATTTTAATCCTACTCCTGTCCCCAACACCCTAGCATTCACTTCTTTTACAACCCCCATCTATAAACATGTTAAACAACCATGGTGGCATCACATATCCCTGTCTAGGACCTACTTTTTGTGGAAAATAATCTTCCCCTCTTGTACATACTCTAACCTGAGCCTTGCTATCTTCGTGAAAACTCTTGACTGCTTTCAGTGACCTACTATGCACTAAAACACTCACTCGTACTGACTTCCTCACTGACTCTTTAATTAACTTTTTAACAGAAACTAACCTACTGCAACAACAATGATATCAATTTTGCACCCACAATAACCCCCACCTCTATCCATTACATACTCTACCTATTGCACACCCTTACTTTTTGCATGCCCATACCCTCACACACTTCTACCCACAATGCTGTGTGACACATTTGGATTTAGCACATAAATTGATTATTTTTAAATGCATAAGCTGTCTCCCACCAAGGTAGGGTGACCTGAAAAAGAAGAAACACTATCGCCATCATTCATTCAATCACTGTCTTGCCAGAAGTACTGACATCACAGCTCAGATAACCTTCTGGGCTGCAAAATCCCCATGCTTCCTGCAGAATGCAGGCACAATGAAGGTGCCATCAATGAAGGTGCCACAATGAAGGTGCCATTTGATTTAGCCATCCTAAATAACATAATATTAGCTATGAACTGGATAAACTCTTCCTTGAATGATAAGTAACAGATTCACCCTCAACGTGAAGGCCTACTACATAATATAAAAACAATCAACCACATAAATCTTAGAATAAATGATAAAGAACTGAAATGGAAAGAAATACTGAAGGTATATATGAGGGTGTGCACAAAAGGGTAATACTACAGCACCTGGGGAATGATAGGAAATTAGTTTTAATCCAAGGAAAGGGAGGACAAATCCAAATCCTTGGATCAAGAGTCTCTCACCAGCATGGTGTACACCTACAGATATAGTTAAAGAAAATTTAATGAGCAATGTGACATAATAATCCATCTGTAAAGCTGCCCAAAAAAACTTTTAATACTTACATAACTTTGATGTTTCACACAGGCTATCTCTTTCTTGATCAATGTTTTCAACTCTTAAGATACTTGCTGATAAATCCTCTGAATCTTCATTTACACTTGAAGTACCATCCATTTGCACATTTTTTCTCTTTGTTATCCATCCTTTACCCACTGGAGAAACTGATTTATCCACATCAATAAAGATACATTCAGAGTCGTGTACTTCTATTGAGCATTTAGTATTACTTTGAGATATGAAAATGACATCATCGTCATCATCATCATCATCAGAAGGTATAATAATTACATTATCCTCATTATGGTCATCACAATCAGTAGTTACATTAATCATTCTATCCTGCAATTCTCTCAATGAAGACCGTTCAGGCGGAGTACTAGCACAAGAGTTTCCAACAGCTACATTGTTTGGTAAAGAAGAAGCACCAGGTTCACATAGATAATTAAAATCTAATGAAATTTCATCATCATAATTTATCACATCTGTTGTTATACTTTTTTCTTGGCTAGTACTTGCTGTCCTGGAAGCTACCATCAATGCAAATGATTCTGATAAAATCATTCCTTGATTAGTCAATTCCTCATCACTGGAATCAGTAAGGTATCTATCTATGAGGAATTCATTTACATCTCCTGCAAGTATTAATTGAAAATACTTTAGCTTGTTTCTGTCTGGAGATTTCAGTGAAGAAACCTGAAACATAAATAAATAATAATGCAATGTAATACAACAGAGCAAAAGTTACCAAATAAGGGTTATAGTAATACGTATATAAGTACTGCAATATATAGTGCCCCAAAGAAAATTCTTTGGGGCACTATATATTGCAGTACTTCTTGATGATGGATATCCACTCTCAATTAAAAAATACTATATGATTAGGTACTGAGGAAACATTTTTTTTTACTTATAATAGTCAGATCTTGACTTAATGTGTAAATGAATTTTTAGTTGATCATGTTAGTTTGCTAATACTGTACTATACTCAAACTAGTTTCTATAGCATACACGTATGTTACCTATTTTATATTGTGCTCTCCATTAGTTATGGCTGAATATTTTTAAAAATTTTCCAGCACTGATTGGAAACTAGCTCAAGTGGTTTCCCATAAATTACAGAAATCTTGTTTACCACATGGCTGAAAAAAAAATGTTCTGAACTTGCTGTACAGTGGCATAATGGTTTCATCCCCTAGGATGAGACCTTGATGCAAGTGAGGGACTCTTGATCCAGGTAACTAGATTTATCCTCCCTTTCTTTGGATCAAACCTGAAGGTCTCTCATTCCCCGGACACTATATGACCCCCATGGGTTTGGCATTTCCTCCTGATTAAAATAAATAAAATGAGGGACAATGACTCATGAACCACAAGATGCTGCCATCTGCCAGAGGTTGAGAACAAAAGATAAATAGTACACATTCCTGATCATCTTTCAAACATGGTGTGCTAATTTTTTTTGTTCTTCAAAAAAAATTAGCTTTAAAAAGGTCAGAGGAGATAAAATTTTCAGTCTGTTGAAGGTGTCTCCAAAGATGACATTTTAGAATACAGTACAAGCAAAAACAATCACAGATAAAATTGTATTATGTATTCCATTGTACCTTGCTAGTACTCCAATAAAGCTAACAATGCTCTATCAGTCATTGGACTTTGTTTGATATTTCAGAAGAAAGAACTGGAAACAACAGACTTGTCTATTTTGTTGAATACCTCCAATGTTTGTCTGCCCAATTTTTGTTCTACTGCATTTATATTTAACCCTTTCACAGTGGGTCCCATAATATTACGGCTTGCGAGCCAGTGTCGGTCCCATAATACTACACCAAAATTTTAGCAGCTTCAAATCTAATGGGAAAAAGCTGGTAGGCCTACATGTGAGAGAAGGGGTCTGTGTGCTCAGTGTGCACAGTATAAAACAAATCGGGGAGGCCGCAGTGCATTGTGGGAGTACCAATTCAGTACGCCTTGTTCACCATGCCTAGCTATAAGGAATACCTCACTCCCCAGCGAACTGGGACTCTTCCCAAGTGATAGTTCTAACACAGATGGAAGTGTCATGAAGATGAATTTCATGGTTTTGAGGAGTTTGTGAATGAAAGCAATTCCCAGGATACCAAAAATAGTGCTGAAAACCCAGACGATCATCAACCTTCCACCTCTGGTGCTGGGCCATCTCATTCATGTTCAGTTGTTCCAGGGCAAAAGATAAGATAAGATAAGATAAGATTTCGTTCGGATTTTTAACCCCGGAGGGTTAGCCACCCAGGATAACCCAAGAAAGTCAGTGCGTCATCGAGGACTGTCTAACTTATTTCCATTGGGGTCCTTAACCCTTTGAGGGTTTTGGTCGTACTAGTACGTCTTACGCGTAGGGGTTTTTGACGTACTAGTACGCATAAATTCTAGCGGCCTCAAATCTAGTGGGAGAAAGCTGGTAGGCCTTCATATGAAAGAATGGGTCTATGTGGTCAGTGTGCACAGTCTAAAAAAAATCCTGCAGCACACAGTGCATAATGAGAAAAAAAAACTTTGACCATTTTTTTGGAATAAATCAGCGACTTTGCAGTGTATTTTCGTATGGTATTTATTGTTGTATTCTAGTTTTCTTGGTCTCATTTTATAGAATGGAAGACATATTACAGAAATTGAGGTGATTTTGACTGGTTTTACAATGAAAGGTGCCTTGAAATTGAGCTCAAAGAAGCAGAAATGTTCGATTTTTACCAAACTTCAAAAGTAAACAAATCGTGCCAAGCGTGCAATACACGTCAACTGGTGAGTCTAATATTCTTTCACAAGTGCACCAATAATATTTATACCATTTTTTACACTAACGCAGTAGTCTGCATAACAGTAAATCTTATATTTTTTGTGAGAATAAAAATTCAAAGTGGAAAGCAAAAGAATATAAGAGGGGCCTTGAGACGTGACTAATGACTAGAGGAAATGTCATTTTAGTGCCAGGAATGTCATTCTTGTTTATTCTGGACCCTATTCGGAAATTGGCATCTTTTGAAATTTGTGTGAAATTGGCAAAATTGCTAAATTCTGACCACTGTACTGGATAGTTGAATTTCATAAATGGGTGGTTTCTTGCACCCATTCGATAGAAAAAATGGAGTTCTAGCGAAATATTCATGTTTTTTGTCGACTAGTACAGTGAAATTGGCCGAAAGTGGGGCTCAAAGTGGGCAAAATCGCCGATGCGTAAACATCGCCGAGACCGCTAACTTTGCGAGAGCATAATTCAGTAGGTTTTCTATCAAATTTCAAACTTTTGGTGTCTTTATGATCGGAAAAAGAATCTCTATCTTTTCATAAGAGAAAATAATTTTTTTTTTTTTTTAAATTTGGCCGACCCTGAGAACGAGTTTCGGAGAGGGCCTGTCGACCCTCAAAGGGTTAATCTTGTCCCCCAGGATGCGACCCACACCAGTCGACTAACACCCAGGTACCTATTTGCTGCTAGGTGAACAGGACAACAGGTGTAAGGAAACGTGTCGAATGTTTCCACCCGCCGGGAATCGAACCCGGGCCCTCCGTGTGTGAAGCGGGAGCTTTAGCCACCAGGACTCAGATGTGAGCAATGGTTGTGATAGTGATACTGATTGTGATTTCCAAGCTCTTGATTACAATTCTAGTATTGATTCTGAAGAGGAATATTCTCCAGTGAAGTGTCAATTTATACAAGACTACATGCATTCTGGTAGTATGCCATATGCTATTCCAAGGGAAAGCAGTACATCTCGGAGTACATCCCATGGCCTTACACCAGGAACAGATAGTGAAAAGAGAAGACAGCATGGGTGGTAGGGAAGACAGCATGGGTGGTGGGGAAGATAACATGGGTGGTGGAGAAAAGAGAGTGTAAGTTTATTCAGGAATACACATATACAGTTACACAGATTATCATACACAGCAGCATTTGTGTAGAGAACCTAGGATAACGCAAAAGAGTCAAAGTGATTTATGTATTTCCATGTGAATGGCGGGGAAGACAGCATGGTTGGTGGGGAAGACGGTGTGGGTGGTGGGGAAGACAGCATGGTTGGGGGAAAGACAGTATGGGTAATGGATAATGTTACAATTGGGATGGATAATATACATGCAGCAGCAGGTGGTGGTGGTGTAATACTTCATGTGGCACCAGCGCCACCCCATGCTGGTAGCCATGCTGCTGACTCAGCACATCCACAACAAAGGCCACCTTCAACCACCCAAACACCACAACAACCTGCACAACCACAACCACAACAACCCGCCCCCAAAACCACAGAGACACTCATTTTGTGTGAGGAGTGTAAAACACCACTGTACATAACACCATGTTTCAAAGAGTTCCACAAACTGTAGCAGTTCTAGGAACATGTCCAGTTACTGTGTGTGTATATATATTACAGAACAATAGTAATAAACAGCATTTTTAATTATTGTTTTGTGTAAACAAGTTCTGTAAATAATATTATGATAACAATATTTGTGTGTTTATTGTGTTGCATACAACAAGTGGATATATACAAAAAGTAAAAATAATATCAAGGAGTGAGCGCCAGTCGCTGATGCTGCCACCAGCGGTTCACTTTCTGTCAACTTCACGCCTCTATATCTCGGTAACAAATGATCGTCAAAAATTTTTTTCTTTTATAATACAGTGGAACTCTGGATTTCGCACTTAATCCATTCCAGAAGGTTGTTCTAAATCTGAAAAGTGCAAAAACCGAAGCAGTATTTCCCATAAGAAATAATGTAAATACAATTAATCCGTTCCAGACACCCAGAAATATTCACAAAAAATAAATTTTTTAAAGGATAACTATAGTTTTACATATAGAAAAAAATTATAAATAAATATAAACATTACATACCTTTATCGAAGACTCTTGTTGGCATATGGAAGAAGGCGAGGAGGGGAGAAGGAATTGGGGTTATTGTTTGGAAGGGGAATCTCCCTCCATAAGGACTTCAGGTATCAAGTCCCTCTTTGGGGTTACTTCCCTTCTTTGTCTTTTATTGGCACTAGGACCAGCTTGAGAGTCACTGGACCCCTGTTGCACAAAAAAACTGTCCAGAGAGCTCTGTTTCTGGTATCTCTTTAAGGTTTACCTGAAGTGATACAAGGTTTTGTCACTGAACATGTTGCAGATATGGCTTGTGTCAGCTTGGTCAGGGTGACATTCACCCCTTTCACAACTTTAGCTTCCTTGATTTCTACTTTCTTTGCCAGGATGGAAAAGAGTGTTGATTTCAACTTCCCACACATCCTGGCAAGGTCGGCTAAATGTACGCCACTTTCGTATTTATCTACAATCTCTTTCTTTAATTCTATTGTGTTTCTCAATTTCTTTACCAAAGGGCTGGCACTAAGAACTTTCTTTGGGCCCACGGTGGCTTATTTTGCAGTCACAATCAATAAACAAGCACAAAAATTGTGAAATGTTTCGGATGAATGCTCACTCAAGCAGTGACAGAGCCAGACTGACAGCACTCCCCGGGTTGGCGGACGCATATGATACGTGTGATTCCCGGGACAAGGTCCAAAATTTGAAGCAAAATTTCGCACAAACAAAGTGTCTGAAATCCGAAAAGTCCGATATCCAGCGCATGCAAGGTTCCACTGTACTCAGAAAATTATTCTTAAGATTTTGGTAAGATTTTTTTTTTTTTTGGGGGGGGGGGATATTTTTGACACTAATAGCAAGTTTATGAGCAGGGATCTTGATAGTGAAAGGGTTAAAACAATTCATGCACAGTAACTTCTTCTTTCAACAAACTGGCTATATCCCACCAAGGCAGGGTGGCTCAACATGAAAAATGAAAGTTTCTCTTTAAATTTAGTAATATATGCAGGAAAAGAGGATACTAACCCCTTGCTCCCAGCACTTTAGTCGCCTCTTATAACAAGCATGGCTTATGGAGGAAGAATTCTGTTTCACTTCCCCATGGACAATGAGCAATAGCATCATCAATACAACCTCTCCTCACTTAGCAACATACTCATTTACCAACAACTCGGACTTACGATGGGCTCTCTGACCAGTATGCATACCTAAATAATGTATATAGAGCTGACTTCCTCTATTCTGTTTATTACAATATACAGCACACTACTGAATAAACATTTAAAAATATACCAGAAATGTTATACAGTGGAACCTCAAAAATCGAACATATCACATATCGAACGTTTCGAAAATAGGACCATTTTTTCGGACAAACTGTGTCCCTATTATTGAACGCACCCCTATTTTCGGACCGCCGGGTACGGGACCTGTCTGCCAGCCCGCTCTGTCCGCGTCCCCGTGCAGGCGCCGTGAGCAGTCTAGCTTTGTTTATGCTTGAGTGAACACTAACCTGCGCTCTCATTCACGCATTTTATGATTATTTCGTTGTGTTTAGTGCTTGTGGGACTGTGAAATAAGCTGCCATGGGCCCAAAGAAACTTGCTAGTGGTACCCCTGTGGTAAAGAAAGTGAGAAACACCATAGATGTGAAGAAGGAAATAATACAGAAGTATGAGAGTGGTGTGAGACTTGTTGAGCTTGCCAGGATGTATGGGAAAAACAAGTTGACCATCGGTTCTATCCTGTCAAAGAAAGAACAAATCAAGGAAGCTGATGTTGCGAAAGATGTTAATATAGGGAGTGGATGAGGTGCTTTCTTCAAAGATTAAGGAGATTTGTGCCAAGTGGAATGATGTCCAAATGTTTGTGCAGAAGTACCACCCTGAGCAAGCTGAAACAAGCCATCTTTGCAACAAGTTCAGTGACAGAACCATGTCCCATTTTAGGGAAATGTTAAAGAGGCGCCAGAAACAGAGGACTGTGGACAGTTATTTTGTGAGACAGGGGTCCAGTGACTCTCAAGCTGGTCCTAGTTGCATTAAAAGACAGAGAAGGGAAGTAACCCCAGAGAGGGCTTTACCTGAAGTCCTCATGGAGGGGGATATTCTCCTTCCAAACACTAACCCCAACTCCCTCTCTCCTCCTCCCTATCTTCCACATGCCATCACCAATCTTCAATAAAGGTAAGTAAAAATGTTACTTTATATGTAGTATTACTATACATAATTAAAAAACTACAGTATTTGTTGTATGTAAAAACTGTAATTAATCTCTATAAAATGTATTTTTTGTATGAATATTTTTGGGTTTCTGGAACGGATTAATTGTATTTCCATTATTTCTTACAGGAAATATTGCTTCGAATTTCAGACTTTTGGAATTTAGAACTAGCTCCTGGAACGGATTAAGTTCGATTTTTGAGGTTCCACTGTAAATGGTGCAAAGGTGACATTAAAACAATATAAAAGATGGTTGACACAAGCACAGTACCATTATAGTATGCTCCTCACTTAGCAACGAATTCATTCACCAACATGATCTTGGGAACGGAACTCCATCATTAAGTGAGAAGAGGCTGTATTCAAAATACTCACTCTGTTAAGATTTCCGGAAAAACTTGAAGAGGTGGCCACAGGCTCATCTTGCAGCTCTTGGACTTTTTGTGTAGAAGAGTCCATACTGTCTGTAGCATTATCACACATCCAAACATTACAAGTTAAGTAAGATAACCCATAAATGGAGTATATCTCAGTTAATTTGTTTCATCTATTAGACTTCAGTTAATACACACACTGTCAAGAGAAAAAATACAAGTTTGTATGAATTTCGATATTCATATTTTTTAATATAGGAAGTAATATACAATAACTCAGTCTTATTTGCTTAATAATTAACTAGTATGTTTAACTTATTATAGTCTTAATCACTGTACAGGGGAACCTTGACTTATGAGTGTCCCAACATATTAGTTTTTCAAGATACGAGCTGTCACTCGGTTGATTTTTTGCTCTGAGTTACAAGCCAACATCCAAGTTATGAGCGAACTTCCCTCTCAATCCACAACCAGCACACTTCGCTTGTTTATCTATGATATCATGCTTTAATTCCATGGAAATCTTCCTCTTTTTCTTCTCAGCACTGTCCTTTGCACTTACTTTCTTAAGACCCATGGTTAGAAAAAAGAAATTTGGCCAGATAACTGTAAAAAATGCAAGCAGAGCACGAGAGAAATACTTCCACTGCTCAGTGGATGTTTTGGCATTCGCTGCGCCAACTAGTGGCAGTGTTCTGAAGTTCATCATTACACATTATTATAGGTCGGCCATCACTAATCCAGCATCATTGGGACCTGTAGTGTGCCGGATTAGTGAGTTTGCCAGATTACAGAGTGGTTAGGCCTTTCTTTGATTAGTTTATCCTGCAGCATGTAAACATTCATTATTTCTTGTTCACTTATAAAACTGTGTTGCTCCAGACCTTTCAGCAGTTCACCTGTCAACTGAATTAACCTATCAATAGAGACTCTTTCTGCTATATCTTCCTCATTTTCATCACTGCTTTCTCCTCCACTGGCTTGCTGCTGTGGATTTTCAACCATTTGCACAATTTCTGAGCCAGTATAATGGTGAAATTTGAGTCAGTATAATGATTTGAGTCAGTATAATGATGAAATTTGAAATTATGCAAGCCAAAATTAGTGCCAGATTAATGATGGAACCAGATAACTGATTGTCAGATTAGTGATGGCCGACCTGTATTATAATTATTATTATTATTATTATTAATTTAGGGAACTGGAGCACAGATCCAATTCCCTACATCAAGAGCCCCTCACCAGCATCAAGGTTCCTTGATGCTGGTGAGGGGCTCTTGATCTAGGGAACTGGATCTGTGCTCCAGTTACCTAAATTAATAATAATAATAATAATAATTATAATAATAATAATAATAATAATACGTATTAATAATGACGAACGAGCTTCAGAACACTGCCACTAGTTGGTGCAGCGAACGCCACAACACCAGCTGAGCTGTGCATGCATTTATGTCACAATGGAAGCATTTCTCATGTTATTATTGCCAAATTTCTTTTTTCTAACCATGGGTCCTAAGAAAATAAGTGCAAAGGACAGTGCTGAGAAGAAAAAGATGATGATGCTCATGAAATCATAGATAAACAAGCGAGGTGGAGGTGTCCGGGTTGTGGGTTGAGGGACGCCGCTCTGACTATCTTCCACCCTTCCACCTTCCATCTCTTCTCCCAGGTAAATATGTACGTCCACTTTATAAAACCAGTTTATTTCTTTACATTCTCTATTATGTTTTTATACAATATTTCTTATTCATAAATACATTGTTTCAGTGTTTTCCTTATGAAACTAGTGACCTAGTGCAGTAAGCCTCACAAACACTCTGTTTTCAGAAGGGGAAGAATGGGAAGATATGGTCAGTGCGGCAGCGGCAATGGCCGCCATTACCACTCATCACATAATGACATTTTATTCATTCTAGAGTATATATCATGTTTCTATGTTATTTATATTGTTTATTATGTCATATTAGATGAATTTTGATAGATGCATAAGCTGTAGAGTTGATATTAGCATCATATTGAAGTATTCTGTCCTGCCTCCCAAGAGCAGGAATTCCGCTGGAACAGATTAATGGCATTTCATTTAATTTAAATAAGGAAAATTGATTTGATATATGAGCAAATTGAGTTAAGAGCTAGGTCATGGAATGGATTAAACTTGTAAGTCCAAGTTCCACTGTATACTGTATATCACATGCTGTATATTGTACACTGTAATGTGCCATTTTAATGAAAACATCACTTATACTAAAGAAAAAATAACTTACTAAATGTATCTCACATGACAAACAATTTTATTAAAGGGGATTAAATGCAAGATTAAAGGCACAATACTGTACATATATGGCATATATTTGCACCTCCTGCATAATTACAGCATTATTATAATTGTGGAGAAGTGCTAAACCCACAGGGGTCATAGAGTATCTAGAGAATGGGAGGTAATTAGGTTTGATCTAAGAAAGGGAAGGGTAGCTCTGATTCCTTGAATTCAGAGCACATCACCAGCCCAAAATGCCTAGCCATGCTAGGTGTTCTAGTGGCCCCCTCTGTAATTAGTATCTTATTACACGTAAACCACACAATAACCAAAACCTGTAAACCCCGCATTGTAATCCTTATAGAGAATAAACTTTGATTTGATTTGATCTAGGCAGCATCCTCGAAGGATGCACCTGCTCAAGCATGATCTGAGAAGCCCTATTCCAAGGAGACATAAAAAGACAATTTTCAAATTTGCTAAATAAGGCTGCAGGATTTACAGGTAAAATGATATATAGATAAACAAAATTAAGTCATTTACAGAACTATATCACATATTTAAAAAATGCCTTTTACCCCTTTTTGAATGTTGTTAGCCATAAATAAAATCACAACAAAAGACATGAAAACAACGATAAAGCACCTACAAAAAAAAAAAAAAAAAAAAAAGTCTGACAGTTTCATTAGTTTTCACTTAACAGACAATATTTTTCTGCCATTCTTCAGTGCAAATGTCACATTTAAAAAGTGCCTAAATTTGAGGCCCCACTGAGCTTGAGACTATGGTATGCAAAATGGCCCCTCTAGCCTTTCCCCAAATCTTAAATGGGCCTGCTTATATATGCTGTGGTTTCTAGCATGGTTATTCTGGTTACATACTCTAACTTTAAAGCTTTATCCCACATATGCAGAGACAAAAAAAAAGAAATATGGGTATTTATTTAAAACTCTTATTACAATACACAAAACCAAATAGTACGTATGTACTGTAAAGTAGGTTTTCAATAGTCTTGGCATACAAAATTTAAAGCACAGTATCCATTTATGGTACTGATATTTTTTATTTATTCGTGTACTTGCAGGTTATTAAATACTGGTTACACCTGATGACATCATAAGCGAATTCTATAAATGGAAACAACATATGAAATTAAACTAAACATTTACTATCTAGTACTAAAGGTTTCTTCTTTGAAAAATCAAATAATGTTGCACCTCACATACCTGGGGCCTTTATAATGTGGAAGTCTGGCTGAAGAGGATATCACTTGATCTACTTGTCTCCATTTAGTTGCAAACAAAAATGCAATTCCAAGAGAGAAGGCACTTGCTTCTTGTAATACAGTTAGAAGCCCTGAGTGCAGCAGTCATCCTATGCCATCCCAGCTATTGGTTCACAACCTGAAAGAAATGAAACATGCACAGAATGCTTTAGATAATTTTCCATGCATTTAACGATAACTGCAGAAATGTCCACTCAGTAATGTTATTATGAACCTCTTCTATATACTGGTGACTGTGCTGTAAAACTATAGTAATTTAAACAGCATGATCTAAATATAGATAGTAATGAGATTGTTATGGTGTAAATATTTCTAGTCTCCAGGAGAAGCACAATGATAGACAATCAACAATACACTGTATGATTCAAGAAAACTGAAAGATGGAATTCTCCAGTTTGATTTTGAAAGTGGCAATGTTAAAGAGATTGCTACTGCTTTATTAACTGTTAGGTAAACGTTTAAAAAAATTAATTGCTACTAATATTAATATAGCAATACTATGGTATTTGTCCTAGAGGTTAACTCAGAAGTCATATGGTGCCTGAGGCATGGCAGTGGTGGAGGTAATCATGTGTGGTTTGAGCAAAGGAAGGGCAATTCCAATTTCTTGGATCAAGATCATTTTCAATTATATTAAAAACCAAGCACTTAACAGGTACTGGTCATAAAGCACCCAGGATCAAGAGCATCTTACCCCCATGCAAGCATCCAATGTGTTTAGCAGGCTTCAGTTGTACTCTATAACAAGTCAGTAGCACCTCTGTAAGTAGCTGAGCTGTACAATAGGAATTATAAATATGTACTTCCCTAAGTATGCCTTCAACAAACTATTTTCCTGACAGATTTGAGAAGTTACAAGGCAATTTTTGTATGGAAGACAGCATCCCTTTCCATACTGCCAAAGACATAAAGAACTGGCTAAATTAATGTGAGTTTTCCATACTTTAAGGACTGACATGAAAGTTCACTGGACTTTAATCAAATAGAGAACATTTAAAACTTATGAAGCTTAAACATCATGGCATGGATGTGTTCTCTAATCCCAAAATCTTGAGTGACATTAAGCAGGTATGGGGAAGATACTAACTTTTCTATCCTCCATAAGTTAGCTGTATCAGTGCCTAGGAAACTTAAGGAGTGCATCAAAAGGCAGGGTAATCCTATGAAATAATAATTTAGGTGTGCAACAAATATATATATATATATATATATATATATATATATATATATATATATATATATATATATATATATATATATATATATATAATATGGAATATTCAAACGGCTTCAGGAAGAAATCCAAATATTCTTCATTGAAGCCTTTTTATCCACTTCTCCGAGGCTATGGGTCCCACAATTTACACCAGAGGTGGACCCCATATATATATATATATATATATATATATATATATATATATATATATATATTAATATATATATATATATATATATATAATATATATATATATATATATATACACATACATACATACATACATACATACATACATACATACATACATACATACATACATACATACATACATACATACATACATACAGTGGACCCCCGGGTTTCGTGATTAATCCGTTCCAGAGAGCCAGCCGAAAGTCGAAACCATTTTCCCCATAACAAATAATGGAAATAAAATTAATCCGTTCCAGACACCCAAAAATATTAAAATAAAATATTTTTTCAAACTAAATAAAGATTTACATAATGAAAACAATCAGAAATCAAGTACATATAGTTAAAATAATAATAATAACATTACACTTACCTTTACTGAAGACTTCTGCATGGATGGAAGATGGGAGGAGGGTACAGGAGGAAGGTGTACACTATTTTTTGGAAGGAGAATCTCCTTCCATTAGGACTTCAGGTATGAAGTCCATATCTGGGATTACTTCTTCTTTTAATGCCACTGGGACCAGCTTGAGAGTCACTGGACCCGTCGCACAAAATATCTGTCCAGAGAGGTCTGTTTCTGGCGTTTCTTTAAGATTTCCCTGAAGTGGAACACAACACTGTCATTGTACATGTTGCCAATACAGCCTGCAACAGCTTTGTTAGGGTGAAGTTCATCCATAAAGGTTTGCACTTCTGTCCACTTTGCACAAATGTCCTTAATCTTTGAAGAAGGCACCTTCCTCCATCTCTCTTCCTCCTCCTCTGCAGCAGTTTCCTGAGCTGTGATCTGTTGCTGTTGCATAACACTATCTCCTGCTAACTGTTTTTTGGTAATCCACACCAACAATAACCTCTCCACTTCTTCGAGGATTTGTGATCTCCTTTTTTGTCAGCATATCCACCCCTTTTGCAACAACAGCACACTTTATTTCCTTTCCTTTCGCCACGATCAAAGTTATGGTTGAATGGGGCTTGCCATACATCCTGGCAAGCTCTGTAACACGCACTCCACTCTCATATTTTTCAATGATTTCCTTCTTGAATTCGATCGTGTTCCTCACTTTCTTTACTAAAGGGCTTGCATTAGCTTTCCTTGGGCCCATGGTGACTTATTTAGCAGTTGTTTACCTGGACCTGGAGTTTACCTGGAGAGAGTTCCGGGGGTCAACGCCCCCGCGGCCCGGTCTGTGACCAGGCCTCCTGGTGGATCAGAGCCTGATCAACCAGGCTGTTGCTGCTGGCTGCACGCAAACCAACGTACGAGCCACAGCCCGGCTGGTCAGGAACCGACTTTAGGTGCTTGTCCAGTGCCAGCTTGAAGACTGCCAGGGGTCTGTTGGTAATCCCCCTTATGTATGCTGGGAGGCAGTTGAACAGTCTCGGGCCCCTGACACTTATTGTATGGTCTCTTAACGTGCTAGTGACACCCCTGCTTTTCATGGGGGGATGTTGCATTGTCTGCCAAGTCTTTTGCTTTCGTAGTGAGTGATTTTCGTGTGCAAGTTCGGTACTAGTCCCTCTAGGATTTTCCAGGTGTATATAATCATGTATCTCTCCCGCCTGCGTTCCAGGGAATACAGGTTTAGGAACCTCAAGCGCTCCCAGTAATTGAGGCGTTTTATCTCCGTTATGCGCGCCGTGAAGGTTCTCTGTACATTTTCTAGGTCAGCAATTTCACCTGCCTTGAAAGGTGCTGTTAGTGTGCAGCAATATTCCAGCCTAGATAGAACAAGTGACCTGAAGAGTGTCATCATGGGCTTGGCCTCCCTAGTTTTGAAGGTTCTCATTATCCATCCTGTCATTTTTCTAGCAGATGCGATTGATACAATGTTATGGTCCTTGAAGGTGAGATCCTCCGACATGATCACTCCCAGGTCTTTGACGTTGGTGTTTTGCTCTATTTTGTGGCCAGAATTTGTTTTGTGCTCTGATGAAGATTTAATTTCCTTGTGTTTACCATATCTGAGTAATTGAAATTTCTCATCGTTGAACTTCATATTGTTTTCTGCAGCCCACTGAAAGATTTGGTTGATGTCCGCCTGGAGCCTTGCAGTGTCTGCAATGGAAGACACTGTCATGCAGATTCGGGTGTCATCTGCAAAGGAAGACACGGTGCTGTGGCTGACATCCTTGTCTATGTCGGATATGAGGATGAGGAACAAGATGGGAGCGAGTACTGTGCCTTGTGGAACAGAGCTTTTCACCGTAGCTGCCTCGGACTTTACTCTGTTGACGACTACTTTCTGTGTTCTGTTAGTGAGGAAATTATAGATCCATCGACCGACTTTTCCTGTTATTCCTTTAGCACGCATTTTGTGCGCTATTACGCCATGGTCACACTTGTCAAAGGCTTTTGCAAAGTCTGTATATATTACATCTGCATTCTTTTTGTCTTCTAGTGCATTTAGGACCTTGTTGTAGTTGAGACAGACAGGAGCGACCTGTTCTAAACCCATGTTGCCCTGGGTTGTGTAACTGATGGGTTTCTAGATGGGTGGTAATCTTGCTTCTTAGGACCCTTTCAAAGATTTTTATGATATGGGATGTTAGTGCTATCGGTCTGTAGTTCTTTGCTGTTGCTTTACTGCCCCCTTTGTGGAGTGGGGCTATGTCTGTTGTTTTTAGTAACTGTGGGACGACCCCCGTGTCCATGCTCCCTCTCCATAGGATGGAAAAGGCTCGTGATAGGGGCTTTTTGCAGTTCTTGATGAATACGGAGTTCCATGAGTCTGGCCCTGGGGCAGAGTGCATGGGCATGTCATTTATCGCCTGTTCGAAGTCATTTGGCATCAGGATAACATCGGATAGGCTTGTGTTAATCAAATTTTGTGGCTCTCTCATAAAAAATTCATTTTGATCTTCGACTCTCAGTCTGGTTAGCGGCTTGCTAAAAACTGAGTCATATTGGGACTTGAGTAGCTCACTCATTTCCTTGCTGTCATCTGTGTAGGACCCATCTTGTTTAAGTAGGGGCCCAATACTGGACGTTGTTCTCGACTTTGATTTGGCATAGGAGAAGAAATACTTTGGGTTTCTTTCGATTTCATTTATGGCTTTTAGTTCTTCCCGCGATTCCTGACTCCTATAAGATTCCTTTAGCTTAAGTTCGATGCTTGCTATTTCTCTGACCAGTGTCTCCCTACGCATTTCAGATATATTGACCTCTTTTAGCCGCTCTGTTATTCTTTTCCGTCGCCTGTAAAGGGAGCGCCCGTCTCTTTCTATTTTACATCTACTCCTCCTTTTTCTTAGAGGAATAAGCCTTGTGTATACATCGAGTGGTGAGGCTGCCAGTTCGGACCACAAAGCGGCTGAAAAATATGTGCAGGAATTCAAGGAGTACATAGACAGTGAAGGACTGAAACCTGAACAAGTGTTTAATTGTGATGAAACAAGCCTGTTTTGGAAGAAAATGCCAAGCAGGACGTACATTACTCAGGAGAAAAAGGCACTCCCAGGACATAAGCCTATGAAAGACAGGCTTACTCTGTTGATGTGTGCCAATCCTAGTGGTGATTGCAAAGTGAAGCCTTTATTGGTGTATCACTTTGAAACTCCCAGAGTGTTCAGGAAAAACAATGTCGTCAAGGCTAATTTGTGTGTGCTGTGGAGGGCAAACAGTAAGGCATGGGTCACTAGGGACATTTTCTATGACTGGTTACACCATGCATTTGCCCCCAATGTGAAAAATTACCTAACTGAAA